TTTGGGCCGGGTGAAATAATCACATTAATTAGCAACAAATAATAATTTAAGTAATCTTAAAAATTGCTGAATTTTTTTATTCAATCAAATAAATTGGTAGTAAATAGTAGTGTTTCCATAAATTCGCACATAATTTGGAACTACTAGTATTACCTTGAAGATAATTCTAACATTGACAGATACATTATTCAAACTGCCACAAACTTTCTGGTCCAGCTATGAGATGGGCTCTTATTTGGAATGGTATCAAGCATAAAATGGGAGAGACCGCAATTAATTGGCTGGAAGAGGTTTGGGTAAAAGCCCATTTCGAGAATAAGAACAAAACCAAAACCAAAAATAGGATGGCTGCACCAAACATATTATCCATCTTCAGCAACACCGAGCACCCACAACACAATTTCCAAAGCCTCTTCCTTTCGGCAGTCAATCGAATTATACGAAAATTCTGACGAAATGGAGCGAGGCAAACAGCAAGGGGTGATGGTGCCCGGGTTGATGCCGCAGCAAAACCCTCTGGAACAATTGCAAGCCAAGTTCAAGGAAGTAGAGAACGGGTTCAGGGCATGGCTAGCCAAGCAGTCCATGGCAGTCGAGGCTGCTGTGGTAACCGCCACCAGCGCCGCTCAGGGTGCTGCTATTGGGGCTTTCATGGGTACCCTCACCAATGATGTCTCCTCCTCTTTTCCAACTCCTCAGGATTCCCTCAATCCTCAAGCCATGGCTTCTCTCCAGCAAGCCCAGGTGCCGTCCTTTTCTCTCTTTAATTTTTAGTCTACAACCTTGATATTTTCAGAACTATAATTGCCATATCTCAAAAAAATAATGTTCCTTCTTAATAGGTTTCTCTGTAACTTAACCAACAACACGGTTTCCAATCCTCCTTTTTTTTCAGTTTCTTTTGCTCCAATCTGTCGCTTTTAATTTGGGGTAAAGGCTCAAAGTCAGGATGTGTATGTTTGTTGTGTGCTTCCTGTGCAACATAATGTGTTAATGCTGTTTATGTGATTTTAAGGAGGATCTCTTCATATGCAGTACATGCTAATTGAGTTTATTGTTGCCTGTTACTAAAGCCTTAGTTTTTGATACTGAAGGGTTTTGTAAATAGCATTGAATTAATCAATGATAAATGGAGTTTTATTGATAAGTGAAAGATGTTGACTTTGATTACAGGCTCTATCAGGAGGTCCCTTGGTACAAGCTCGAAATTTTGCCGTGATGACTGGTGTCAATGCTGGCATATCTTGTGTTATGAAAAGATTGAGAGGGAAGGAGGATGTCCAATCTAGGTGGGCCTTTCTATCACAGTTTTTAATCGTCATTGATTTTCTTTCTGTTGTTTTTATAGCTAGGGGATATTGCTACTAGTCGTAGTTCAATCAGAATACAACATACTAACATATGCTGCAATATGCTCAATAAACTCATAAAAGATACCAACAGATAATGCTATTGATGGACTTGTTTCTGAAGACACAGACCAAGATTGTTTTTCATTATTATTTCTTATTTTATTATTCTGATTTTGTCCTCAGTCATGTACTGAATCTCAATGTGATCCCTGTTGAGATGCAGAGAAAGTCTCAATCTCAATCTCAATGAGATCCGTGTTGAGATGCAGAGAAAATCTCCATGTCATTCTTTCAGGGCTAAATTAATCTTAAGTTTACAAATTTTCTGGTCAATGGGATGTTCCAGACCATGGAGATGTTATGGTAGTGTATCTGTTTTGGCTTTTTTTGAATTTGGTTAGTTAGAAAGGAATGTTCTCTTTTGCTTTCATCAAAAAGTAGCGCAGTTAGATTCATCAACACAGCATTTGGGAAAGGGTGAAGTCTCATGTACCCCTCTGGTTTGTCATGGACTCTAAAGTTGTTACCTTCTAGGAACCAACTTGATTTCTGTTTGTGGCTAATCTGGTAAAATAGGCTGTGTCAGGCTAATTAGAGATCATGGTACTGATATTATTTAAGTTGTATGCATCTGACAAATAGAAATAAGTTGAAAATATTTTAAGTGCTTCAGTTAGAAGGTGATTAACTTATTTATATATTATTTTGAGTAACAGATGGGATAACAATTTTTGAAGACCTTATCAGTTTTGAACTAGCTTATTTGACTATCAATATAGAAACTTGGAGGTAGTTTTGTAAATGAAATGCACAGTAGTTTTATCTTCTCCCATTTCCTCTTCTAGATTCCACCTCTACCCCCATGTTTCGCCCTGTTCTCCCAGGGAAAAATTTGCTTTCTGTGCTCCACTCTGCCTTCATAAATTACAATTCCAACATCATTTATGGAGAGCATTCTTGGATATTTGTGTGTGGTAATCTGAATAATGTGTAATTGACTAAGCTTGTTGTTTAAATAAAGAACTGTAGAACTCATTAATTTTTTATATTGTTTAAATTATACCTTAGGTTTACACTGTTGTTTAAGATAACTTCATATTATTGCAGCATGGTTGCAGCTTTTGGTTCTGGGGTCATGTTTTCTTTAGTGAGTGGCATAGGTGGCCCAAATCAGGCTGCAAATGCAGTCAGTTCTGGACTCTTTTTTGCACTTGTTCAAGGCGGGCTTTTCCAGGTGATTTATTATCTTGTTAGGGTCTCTGAGATCACTATTTTATCTTTACATCATTTCTGGTTATTAACTGATCTGCAGATTGTGAACATGATAGAGCATGCATAAACAAAAAAAGAGGTGATGTGATACATGGTTTAATAAACTTTTGGAATCAATTTGTATGCGAAGTGTCATATATCCATGTGCTTCTCAAGTAAATTTCCCCTTTTGATAGTTGAATATTCTGAATGAGCACTGCTTTGAAGTAGTGCTGTACTGGCCTTTAGACTGTAGTCTTATATCTAACGGCCTTATTTTTTATAACCAGTTAGGGAAAAAGTTTTCTCAACCTCCTGCTGAGGATCTATACTATTCCAGAACAAGATCCATGTTAAATAGTCTTGGCCTCCAGAACTATGAGAAGAATTTCAAGAAAGGCTTGTTAACAGATAGCACATTGCCTTTGCTCACTGATAGGCAAGCAATTGGATTTTTAATTTTCGTTTAACTTTCTAATTAATATTTTGTGAACTGTGTAAATAAATCCTAATGGCCTTTTAATTGTCATGATGTGTTTCAGTGCTCTTAGAGATGTGAAAATACCCCCCGGGCCCAGGCTCCTTATTCTTGATCATATTCAGAGGTTTGAGTCAGTCTGCAATGTATGGTAATTATTGCCCTTGACAATTGGATTCTATCTCACCTTCTGGTTAAATATTTGTCTTCAGGGACTCAGAATTGAGAGGGAAGCAAGGATGCCGTGGGTGAATTCCTTTTTGCCTCCGATGTCCTTAACATCAAATTTCGATAAACGTGCTTGTTTAGAATTCTTTAAACAGTTTGCTCTAGCTTTGATTTTTTCAAGTAGTTTCAGTTGTTATAGTAAACCTCGGATGAAGATGCTAGACTCATGAGCTTAAATGCTGTAATTTGGTATTTGCCTGTCTGCTTTTTCTGACCAAATCATTAATGATTTTTAAGTTTAACATGGTTAAGGTTGCTGCTATAACCAATAAGTGTGCTGCTAATGCGTGCTAAATTTAATGTGATAATCATAGCACTTCAAGTGTGGGTTTAGTGTTTACAACCGCAGGAAACGGTCCTCTGACTCCTGTACCTGGAATGTAGTCTGTTTGAGTTCCTGGAAACGGACCAAGGACTTGCTTGTGTTATGAATTATATGATCGGATGATCAATTGTGTCCGGGTGCTGTGGACTTGTGAAGTTCGATAATAATTTTAACCCACAGCTCAATAGCCAAGCAATTTAACCAGATATGACCCCGTTCGGATGGGTGCTGGACTTCGAATGTGTAGTAATGACGGTGGAATGATGCAACCTGCCGTGTTCAGATGAAAATTTAGTAAATGGTAGTAGAACTGATACCTAAGGTTGCGGTGGGACGGTGAAATAAATATCGGAACAGGAAGGACCTCACAATAATTGAAGTTCTTTTCCGAAATGAAAAGTGACTGGCAGCCAAAACTAGTGTTAACACTAAATAAAAGCCTTTTGATGGATACTTCGGGCGCCATAGTCTCTCGGAAACGTACAACGATGGACCATCCTTCAGCGAACAGTAACCATCAGCCCGGCATTTGCTGAGCTGTTTTCGTCGAAAATTCTTTCTTGTAGCTAACTAATAATTGCAAGATGAAAATTTCCATTGAAAAAAAGTCACATGACATCCACAAAAGGGTAAAGTCCTTATCCGTTGAATGGGCTTGAGAGTTAAGATTCAACTAACATCTAAAAATCTACACAAACATGAACTCCAAAAACTAAAGATGATTATGAACATATAAGCATGCATAACCATAGTTGTAGCATAGTTCCAAATTTTAGATACCTTCAAAGATTACTTACCAGGACATTAAAAATCATTTATGATAGTTAATACTGCTATTTTACAGGTTTGCTGTTATCAGTTCGAGTTCTTCATTTATAAATGTAGCTATAAAATATATGCCGTTGAATAAAAATATAGAGCTAGTTAATTGTGACTCGTGAGATTTAAAAACGTGTTGATAGATATCATTTTCGATTCTCTTGGATATCAAAATGAAATGCTATCAAATATGTACAAGTCTATTTTCCACGTGTTTATTGAAAATAACATTTTTTTAATTTTTCAACATATATGACAAGTTTTTAAATTATAATCTAAATTGTGTATATTGCAATATATATAATTATTTATGCATAGTAGTTAGGTAATAGTATAGTATTACAATTATAATTAGATAATTTGGCCAATTATCTGTATTGGTACCAAATTAACAACCTTAGCTTGGCATTGTTTTTAAAGCTCAGCACACAAGGAAATAATGAAAGGAAACTTTTGCTTGTATTTATAACATAACGATGCCCTCTTTATTGAAAAAGGATTGCAAGTCTTTGAGATGCATTTCGCAAACATGCAGCGCTAATTTGATTGTTTTATTTGAATATTGAATTTTCTCTAGTTCTATGTCAAATGCTTGGATGTAATTAGAGCGATCTTTGAAAGAAACATTTAATGATCAACGACTTTGCCATCAAATTCAACGGTTCATAGCCCCCTTACAGAGTCCAGGGTTAGACTTATACCTTTCTCCCTGTCTTTAACAAAAAAAAAAAATCGAAAACCAGAAGAAAATTAGACAAAACTAGTTTACTGCGACGGATTGTTACATTGCAACATTAACGTAAACTGAAACAAATGGATATATTGTATTGTTAGTAAGCTACTTCAGCTCTTCTTAACCATATATATATATATACGGTTTCATTCATTCACAAACGGATTCAGAAGCCTCACGCCTTTGTTACATATAAAACATCATACAAAAGCAGAAGCCAGAAATATTTTCTATAAAGCAATTGGAAAAACATAAAAGAAAAAGAAAACATAGATCAAAGAATGGAGAGGGGTGTAGGGGAGCGGTGGCTGTTGACGACAAGGTTAGCCTTGGAAAGCTGGTCCATGAGGGAGAGGATGCGGGCGTTGTAAGCACGGGCCTCATTAACGGACTCTGCCTCTAGCTCTCCCAGCTGGGAGCATAGCCTCTCCTCAGCCTCTTCAACCACCTTTAGCCTCTCCCATGCCTTTGTTAACTGCTTTCTCATCACCTCCTCTCTTTCCCTGCTCTGCTTCAGCTCTCTCTCCAACTCCTCGTTTCTCTTCCTCAACTCTACTTCCTCTTCCTTCTTAGCTATGGATTTGTGATCAGCCACAGCCTTTGTTGGAGCCATTTTTTTGCTCTGTTTCTTTTTGATTGCTGGAGAAAATGGTAGTTATGGGTCAACCGATGTGAAGTGGTCTCTTTTATAGACGAAACTTGTAAGTAATAACAAAAATGTCCAGGTTCAATGTATCTTCTATGGGCCCTTTTTCCTATTAATGCTTACGTATTTGCTTTGCTCTATGTTGCAGAACTTTTCGCCTTTCAATGTTCAACTCTTTTTACCGTAAAGAGTCTAGAAGAAGGTACTAATTACTGGTTTCATTGTTTATACATTGATTTTGCTATATAATGCCTGAAAATAGTTTTTAATATTTAAATAATATTCTCTTCTTGTACTGCATTAAAAATCAAATCATCATGCTGAATTGTTACATTGAATTAACATTTCCCTTTCTTGTCATTTCCTCCATAATCAGCCATCGTCGGCACAAGTGACCAATGGGCTTAGGGCTTTAAAAGTGGAGAATTGGAGTTTGGCCCACTTTTTATAATTTTAAATTGGGTTTGGGTCCATTTGTTCCCTTAGGTAGGTGGGTCTCTGGCATCGATGATAGGCTACGTTGTTAGCCTATTTTGGTGTTCTTGGCTTTTTATTTTGTGGTTTGGTTACCTCCTTGATGCGAAAATGCGTAGAGGGTAGGGCCACGGCTCACAGGAGCTTCATCCTTTTCTTCGTTAAGGGCAGGTTAGGCACTGAGGCCCAATAATGATGTGATATGTGATAAATATCTCACCGTCCATGTACGAAATAAAAGGATCTTGCGTTATCTAAAATTCCACGAAAGAATCATTGAGAAAATAAATGCAACTCTCAAGCGTTCGTCATGTTCTTCACCCTTTTTCTTCGTCTTTCTTATCCTCCTTGATCCCTATTATCCTTTCTAGTCTTTCCAGTCACAGTTCGTTCGGTCCACTTAACTTTTTTTTTTAACAAAAAATGATTTTCTCGAATAATTTTTTCAATTATAGTTTTATTAGTACTAAATAATTTACTGAATACGTGTTAAGAATCAGAGGCTAATTCCAAATTTTAATATTTAAAAAAATTTGAAATATCTTCAAAGATTATTTGTCAGAAAATTAAATACCATCTCCGGTAATTAATACTTACAAGTTTGGTATTTTTGCATCGGAGTTTTGTATTTAAAGATGTAGTTATAAAACATGTCATTGAATAAAATATCTTAATTGAGATATTTTAAAATTCAAGATATTTTGAGATAAAAGATTAACATGACATGATATCAAATTAATACAGATCTATTTTGAATGTACCAATTGCAATTGACATTTTCAATTCTTTTGATAAGTGTGACAATGGTTTAAAGATATGCAATTTTCCTTTTAGTATAAATCAATACCTAAATTGTAATGCCTTGCTTTTGTACTTCAATAACAAGCTTGGCAATTTTTTCAACCTCGAGAAGGAAAATATTTTGCTTGTGCAACAATGATTGTCTAATGCATCACACCAACGTCATATTCAAAGTCCATTAATTTTATACGAATCTTCAACTTTATACGATAGCTGGTTAATTAGTTCATTTGATGAACGTGAAAAAAGAAACCAAAAAATGTTCTGAGAATCCAAAGCTCGGAATTAGAATAATCTTTCAGAAGGAAGAAGTAAAGAACCACGACTCTGCTTCAAATTCGACGGTTCAGACTGCATAGGTCCCTTATGGAATCAAGGGTCAGGCTAGACTCCTCCTCCTCCTCCTTGACCTTTCCTGAAAAATTAACGGAGAATGGGAAAATATTAGAAGCCACAGCTACATACCAGAAGATTTCTTATTTTTGACAACGAGGGATGTTACATATTACATTGCAATGGCAGCAACTGAAATAAATGACTATGGTAAACCCGCTCCGGCCCTCTACATCATCCCTCAAAGAAATCACAGTTCAAAATCACTCCCTAATTACAAACAAACTAAAACTACACAAGCCTCACGCCTTTGTTACATAAAACATCAAGCAAAAGCAGAAGCCAAAAATATATACTACTAGAAAACAATTGGGAAAAAAGAAAACATAGATCAGAGGATGGAGATAGGTGCAGAGGAGCGGTGGTTGTGGACGAGAAGGTTAGCCTTGGAGAGCTGGTCCATGAGGGAGAGGATGTGGGCGTTGTAAGCACGGGCCTCGTTGACGGACTCTGCTTCTAGCTCTCCCAGCTGAGAACAGAGCCTTTCCTCTGCCTCTTCCGCCACCCTTAGCCTTTCCCATGTCTTTTGTAACTCCTTTCTCATCTGCTCTTCCCTTTCCCTGCTCTCCTTCAACTCCCTCTCCAACTCCTGGTTTCTCTTCCTCAACTCTTCTTCCTCTTCTTTCTTTGCTATGGAATTGGGACCAGCAGCGGCTATTGTTGGAGCCATTGATTTGCTGTTATCTGTTTTTTGTCTTCGATTCGGTGGAGAATGTAATTGTTTTATGGATCGACAGATATAGAGTAGACTCTGTTATAGCCTAGGGCGCCTCAGCCAAATATGTCCAGGTTCACTGTATCTAGTTTTGTTCCTTTTCTTTATTTATTTTATTTGGTCCCAGCTTTTCTTTTTATATGCTTACGTATCTGATGTGCTGTATGTTTGCAAATTCATTTTCGCTCTTGGACTTGCTAGCCTATTCCTATTCCTTTCCCCTTTCCCATTTTTGTCCTTGTGTACATAATAGCCGTCCTTCGAAACACGTGACGCAATGGGTTTAGAGCCTCTAATGGAGTTCGGCCTACTTTGCAAAATTTTGATTAAATTGGGTTTAGGCCTCTTCGTGTTTTGTTCGTTGGGGTATGAGCGTCTCAAGTTTTACATTAGTGAATTTTATATAAGTGAGAAATAAGATGAATTTTAAATATATAAATATAATTTTTTATATAATAAATATATTTTTATATTAAAAATATAAGCATGACAAATAATATTAAAATAAATTTAATTTTTTACTGATATTAAATCACATAAAAGATATAAAAATTAAGATATATTTAAATTAATATAAATTTTTTTTTTTTATAAATAAAGAGTCAATGTAATGAAAATATTATATAGTTGAATAAGATAATATAAAATTGTGGCATTGAAATCTATTTGTTTGATTTGTAATGAAAGATATGTAGCTAATTATGATAATTAAAACAATCTTTACGGATTTCAGTGATCGTTTTGAACCAAAAATAGAAAAACGTTACGCTGCATTATCGAGTATTCGTCCATTTTTAAGTTGTGGTCTTCCTTCCGTTCACCAACTTAGTGGGAGAGTGCCCAGAGAGCGGGCCTTCTTACTGTATAGAATTTTCTTACACTGTTTATCAAAGTTTATGTAATGAATGTAGTTCCAATCTTTTATTGTCACTAGGGGAAAAAAACATATCCACAAATGTCAAATCTGAAGCTTTTGGAGCATCTCGAACCTCTAAGCCAAGCATCCAAGGCCTCCTTTCCTCTGATATTTTTACCGGCTCTTTTTGTTCTGTTTTTCTCCGTGAGCTCTTTCCCTCTTTTTACATTGCCCAGGGTTTTTGATCATCTCCCAGCTTTTGGTACTTTTCACAAAAATGAAATGACTTAAGAATATGACTATGTATGTTACTCGCCTAACTCCTTTCTAGTGACTGGATATGTGAACAAGTTATACGATGCGTGGAACCATGTACAAGGATTAATTTGAACCACTAGCTTGTAAGTAACTCGTGTCACGCTTCTCTCTTCTGTTCAGTGGGTAAGGATGTTTACGTGTATCTAACTTTGTATACTAGGGTGTTTGCTTCTTTACTTTATTTGGTTGTTACTATCAATTGCACTGTTATCTTATACATTGTTGGTGATATTCTTTATATTTTAAGATTAGAGGGTTATTTGGTATTCTTTAAAAATATATATTTTTTTATAATAAAATGACATATGATAATAGTTTAATTTCGCTTGTAGCATTTAAATATATGACAGTATATTGAATGATAATTCATATTAAACAATCAAATTCATGAGAATTGATTTATTTAATTGTTTATAAATACTCTCTGACCCGTATTTACAAATAGATAAAATATTTTTAATTTTATCAATAAATTAAGAATGATAGGTATGTCATTGACGATGACATTCAGTTCTTGAAGAAAAAAAAGAAGAAGTTTAAAACAAGAAGAAATTGTTACTACTTTTTAATTTCCTGCATTCAATTAGATTTGTAACTTTGATTATCAAGCAATCTATTTTGTGTTAATTGCACGTAAGAACTTTCTAAGATGTGGGAGTAATAACACAAAAGATCAGATTTGATTTCATATTATATTGTAAATTGAAATTTACTTTATACGACTATGATCCCCTTTGTTTGTCCTTTTATTAAGCTGAAGCAACAAGAAGTAGCCTAGCTTTTTTTAATTAAAATTGTTTCTTGTAGCTTATTAATTATTGCAACATGAAAATTTCTATTTATAAAGTTAAAAACTAAAGATGATTATGAACATATAAGCATACATAACGATAATCGTAGGAGGTGAGAGAATCACAAGTTAGTTTCAAATTTTAATGTTCTAAAACATTTTAGAAAGCATTCAAAGATCATTTACTGGGATATTAAACACCATGTATGACCGTTAATATTCTACTTAACAGGCTTGATGTTTGTTTGAATTCTTTTCTCTCCAAACTTAATAAATGTAACTATACCAAGTAATTTTTATAAGAGAGACAACAAAGCATCTATAATGATTCAAAAATATTCGTAAATTCAATAATCAATAAATATATGATTTTTTTTGTGGAATTAGACAGAGAATCAACAACCGTGTTTGATTTCATAAAGGCTTGAATAGTAAAGATTTAAAACTTAAATCTTTTATGTGAGAATTATCTTAAATACATTTATACGATTTTACTCTATTTTTTCTCATGATTTTGTTTGAAGGGAAAAAAACAAAAAAGAAAAATGAAAAACAAAGAGAAGGGCAGGGCTTGATTGTGAAGACTAGAGGCCTGTGTTCAGTGAGCGGTGGCCCACAGATGAATGAAATTGAAATAACATGCCAATTGCAAATGTTACGATAAATACTACTACAAATCATGTACAGTGAATCTGGTCCAAATCCAAATGCTTTGTGATAGGATCCAAGCTCAAAAGAATGACGGGTGTTCGACGTTTGCTAGAAGCGATGAGATT